GCTGGCCTGTATTTGGGTTTCTGGAAAACTTCAAAGTCCAGCCTATCGTCCTCCCCAAAGTACACAGCACAGTCCAGGAGTGATAACCTGTTTTCTTTGGTATCCTCCCTTGTGAGCACATTAACTCAGTGAACAGAAACAAGTTCTGCAGGGAGGATACCGAAGAATCATGATTAGGGAACAAGAAGTCCACTAAGCTACTGAAACTCAGGATTTAGGTGAGGACAAAGGCAAAAGCTTTGACACTGAGCTCACAGCTTTGACAAAACCCAACCACACTCACTCTGACTTTTTCTGTGTTAAATGTGACTCAGTACAATATCTGCCACAAACTTTAATAAACCTCTTTCTGAGATTCTGCAGTATGAATAGTAAATTCCTATAAATGCGATTGCCATAAGGCCAGCTGCAAAATTAGCTGGATAGTAAATATCAGCTGTAGGCACAAGAGGGAATTGTCTGGAACCAACTATTAGTAAATCTGGGACTTTGAATAATAACATAAAACCCATTTTATGTCGCATTCATTTTGTTTAACTTAAAATCACATTAAGTCTGAGTAACCCTTGGATGCAGGGTAAAGCACCACCTACGTATAAAGCATTTCCCTTGTTAACTTTGTAGCTGACAGATAGTAATGGGTATTATCGGCTCTGGTAACCCTCTTGTATACTTCCCACCCCTGCTGTATACCAGTCGGCTGCAGCCTTCGCTCCCACTGACAGCTGCGATAAAATCTCCTCTTACAATCAGTTCAACACACCCTGTTATTTTATCCGTCACTGCAACATTTTATTGACAATTCACGGATGTAGTTGCCACATCGCCGCGAATCTCTTCACATATGCATGGCCCATCAGGCATAGAAAGACTAGAGAAGCTGCTAAAATCACAGGAAATGTAACTTACTTAAACTTGCAAATTGAACCCAACAGAATTCACTTTACTTCTTACTGAAAATGTGCTGAAGAATTTGAGATGATTAAAGGAAATGTCAAAATTAGAGTCTATCTACCTAATCCTTAATATTTTCGGAGGCTTCAAGGAGCAATTTATCCTACTTGAGCTATAATTTGGAGAATTTATTTTTTGCCATCCTTTGCCTCTTCATTGTGAAACCATCCCTACACATGGAGGTGGCCTAAGATGAATTCGGTAGCCTGAAAGACTCTTGACCTTACCCACAGAGAAGTCTGTTAATTTTCCATGGTCTGGTGGTCTAATATATCACTCTCTGGATCTAAAGGTCAGATGTGATTCAAATCCAACCAAATAAGAGAAACTATAGATTTATTTTAATCGAATGACTTAAAAAATTGTCTCTTTCAGTACAAAGGCTGCTCTTTGTTACCCCTCTGAAGGGAAAGCAAAGAGGTTTGTGCAGTCATATATACTTTGTAACAGCATCAGCTCTTTTCAGTAACTCAAAAAATAAGTTTTATAAAACTACTGTATATAAGAAAAAGATTTATCCACCTGACAGGGATCACAGCTTTTCAGTACAGTAGCAGCAAAATTTAAGCCCTGATTCATAAACATTTGCCTGACAGTGGTGCTAAAAATGTTTTAACTCGATGAAAACTGCATTTATATTTTATCTTTGCATGTGATCCTACATTTATTTGTATATTCATTAGTGGTTATATGTGAATTATACTGCCGTGTGCTTTAAAACTACCAAGGCAGCATGTTTAAATGAAACACAAACCAGGGAGTGATGCCATAAGATAGAAATAACCTGTGATGTCACACAAAGAAAGCAAGGACTAAGTAAAACAAGAACACTCTATGTGTTGGTATGTGTTCTGTTGTGTTTCGATGGCCTGAGCCAACCACACTATCCATCAATATTCATGGGAGAGCTCAGGCAGAGAAGTCCTTACTGTGCTGTGAGGTCTAGTCAGCTGTGAGTGGAGCCACCGTGACACAGACGGCATGAGGGTACCGCTGTGACTTAAGAAGATGGAGGGGTCGCCCGATGCTGCAGTCAGGATGGATGATGAGAGTATTTGTGTGACTGCAGGGGGACGAGACAATTTTAGAGGCTCTGCGAGAACTTATAGGCAATTTTGTGTCTCTCACTTGGTGCGGCATGTTATTTTTAATCACACTGTGCTCATCTTTGTGCATTAGCAATTACAAAGGGATTGCCCACTTCAATTTGGGTAATGGACGTCTTGTCATTGAAGGAAGTAGCTGTTCAGTGCATCCCTCTTTATAGATTTCTTACCCTTGTGTCACATCAGGCTTTTACCCCAACATTAGGGTAACGAGCTGCTGGCCACCTACGCGTCTCCTCCTTCCTGCCGCCACAACCACAGAGTGCATCTTCAACCTCATAACTTTTGTTTTCAGAAAACTTTTAGAAACCTTTATCTTATTATCATGCCTTCAAGGATTATTTTTTTAATTTATACTGTTGTAAGAGTGGATATACACTAATGGTTTCCAAACAAAGATGCCTTTAGGCAGCTTTTTTGTATTTGCAGGTACATTAAATTACCGTGAGTGATTATTCAAGTTACCTTTGTGCAATTTTATGTGTCAGATGTCAGTAATTTTTTGCAGGAGTTTGATTCAGTCTTGCCTAACTTCAGAGTTATAAGTGCAATCCCCAAGCAGGGAACAGGGAAGCTGGGTTCCCTGTTCCTAGCTCCCAGCTAAAATGTCCAGGCTTAGTGGCTTAAAGTTAGATGGTCACTTTATTTGGTAGGCAGATGTTAACACAGGCTGCTAGACATTTGCTAGGTCTAACATCACCTAATTCAAGCATTTCATCTCTGTTTTTGGAGCGTTTTCAGTGCAATTACCCAGCAAATGATACGTCTTCTTGTAGTTAATTGTTAACAGAGTACATTCAAGAAGTCTGCACTGATTTTTGTGTGAGTGAAATTCCACCCATCCATTTTTTTTCAT